TTTACGACGGCGAAGGCGGCAGGTGTACAGTGTACGTACACACCATCAATAACGCGACCCATCTTCCCTCGGATTCATTCCCGTGCGAAATATGCTTTGGAAATTGGCGACCGCGCCGCAGAGGGGAGAGAGAGAGGGAGAGAGAGAGAGAGAGAGAGAGAGAGAGAGAGAGAGAGAGAGAGAGAGAGAGAGAGAGAGAGAGATGGCGGGGGGGCCTTGGTAGGGAAAAAGGGGGTGGGGGGTGATAAAATTTCATTATGTATCGAACAGCCATTCTTCGGGGGGCAAGCAGTAGCAGACTTACTGCGAGCTTTCTTTCTTCCATTGTGTGTGTTTGAGCCCGTAAGCCCGCGCGTGTTTAGGTGTGTGTGTGTGTGTGTGTGTGTGTGTGTGTGTGAGGAGCAAATGACGAATGTCGCACTTTGGCAAAGGAAGCAAACAGGAATAAAGTATCGATTTAAGAATCTGAATAAATTTCACTGTGGGACTGTGTGTGTGTGTGTCAGTGTGTTTGCGATCGGTCGCCCTCTGAGAGCGTGTGTCGGTGTGTGTTTGAGTGTGTGTCTGGGTTTGTGGAAGAGAGCGCGCGGCGCGTCTCGGCGCCGGTCGGGCACATTTCGCTCACTCGAGATACACAACAGTCCCGTCAAAAAGGCTGCGTGTTGATAGTGACTGTACCGGCGGGGCAGAAACGCGGCGAAATGGCACGCGGGTCTCGTCCGCGCGTCGGATTAATTCTTGACATATTTAGTGCGGCCGTCTCCACTCCCTGCCGCCCCGCCCCGCTCGCCGTGTGTAGTTTTAATTGAGCTCAGCGCTTTGTCCATGATGTATGGCTCCGAAAAGTCGCGCCCGAATACGAGCCGCCCGGGCCCCCCCATTTATTAGTTTTTTAAACGAGTCCAAACGGAGCAGCTACTTGAAACTGCTCAGATGCTCTTCGCTTCGCCGCTAAGGCCGTTCGGCTAAAATAAATCTCTTTCTTTTCTTTTCCGCTGCGCGGCAATAACATTAACCCTAGCGAAGTATTTTGAGCGAGTGTTAGGTGCTAACTATTTCGTTTTGCTTTGTAATAGCTTTAATTTATGAATACGTAGTAAAAAAAAACACTATTCTTTGCAAAGCCTACACTATAGTTTTTAACGTTTACTGAGGGTTGCTATGATAAAATTTAAAAATCTTGAAAACAAAAAGGAAAAAAAAAATGTTAGAAAATTCAGAACAATTTTTTTGAACGTCCCTGTGTTGTCTGGGCTGGTTGGTGTGGGTGGCGGCCCGTGGAGGGCGCCGACTGAGGTGAGGAAAAATACTCCGTTTGCTGCGAGGCTCCTTTGCTCCGTAGAGGTGTCAGTGCCCCCGAAGCAAGCACGCGAAGCAACGAACCGGCGACCACCCGGCGGCCTAAGCTGCCGTACGCCGCCACACAGTGGGCCAGAAGACCGGTGGAGGCGGTCAAAATCCCGAACGTGTTTTGAGCTCCCAGAGTCGCTGAATGTGACTCGAACCGAGCGTGTGACCCCACCAATGGATTGCTCTCCGAACGAGGAATCCAATGGCGGGGTCACATGTTCAGTTCGAGTCCCGTTTAGCGAATCTGGAGCTGAAAACGCGTCTGGAATTTTGGCCGCCTCCACCGGTCTTCCGGCCCACCGTGCGCCACCCGCTCGCCCGGCCCGGCCCGACCCGGATTCATTCGGGCGGTTCGGGTTCGAGTTCGGCTCCGCGATCGTGACCCGAACTCGTGCCACCAAAATATTGGGGTGTCATTGGGGACCAATAAAGTAGCCACGCAGGTTGCGTGGCGTGGCGCGCCGTGGCGTAAGGTGACTTGGTTCCGTCTTGGACGAGGGACTTTGCAGGGACATAACTCATGCGATGGACTCCCCCCCCTCCTCCCTCTCCGCGTCCACCGCGCCGAACCCCTCCGCGGGTTTCCGAACCGTTTCCGCTTATCTTATCGCCAGAGTGGGCCCACTCGCTCGGTTTGAACCTCCTCCCTTGTGTCCTTGCGATCGGATTCACCCGATGCAGGGCGATGCAAAAATGCAAGGCAAGGCTACGAAATCGGAATGCGGCCCGAATGTGTGGCGTGCCACATCTGACGCTCACTTTTTTTTTTTTGCTGAAGTTGCACCCTGGCGGCACTGGACGTACTTCCGGTGTGGCGCCATGACGCAAAGCAGCAGCCACACCTCACTTAGGTAAGTCCGCAACAATTAAGACAATGGAGAAAGCAGTAGTGTTTGGCTCGCAGCGCAGCACCACCGCGCTGCCCCCGAGTGACCATTGGCTGGACAACCCAGCCGGCCGGGTTCACTGTCGGCCGGCCAGCACGGCTTCTTGTCAAGGGGGAATAACTCCAGCCAAATCTGTGCACCGAAATTCATCAAACTTGTAAACTTTACTACCATTCAGTGAAATTCATCAGTGATTTTTAAAATTCATTGAAATTTTTCTCAGAATCTAGTAGTTTTTGCCTGATATTCATAAAAATTCAACTAAAATTCACTGAAATTCACAGTGATTTTCCCATGCTTCTTGTTTTACTGCGCTGAGGTTATGACGATGCCGACTTTGTCTTCGATTCCTTTAAAAAAATCCAACCACAGAAAAAGAATTTTTTTTAAAAGATTTTTTTTTTGGCGTGGTCTACGTAAAACTGCGCCGCCTCCGGCGAAATTCCGACCTGCCGCGCCGACAGTGTCGGCGACCTGTGCGCGCATCGCATTTTCGCGCGCCCTTTTGAGGCGGCGTCCTTGTGTGGTGCACTGTGTGCTGGTGCACTGTGTGCTGCTGCACTGTGAGGCAGTGTGTGTCGGGCGCTGCAAGCGCTGCAACAAGTAGCGAAAGAGGAGCCGACGACCACGCCTGAGAGGAAGCCCACAATGGCGGTCAGGTGGTGCGCCGCTTCAAAGTGACCGCCAAAGTGACCGCCTTTGTGGAGCCGAGCGCGCCGTTGTAATCCGCGCGCAAATCCCGAAGACGCAAAGGCAGCGCGCCGAAGCAGCCAAAGCTCTGCAAAGTGGCGCAACGGGCCAGGCCAGGCCCGCCGTCTCGCTTGGATGCAATTAATCCCGTAGTCTATTTTCCGGGGCGACGACGCCGCCAGTTAGTCTCGGCTCTCTCTCTCTCTCTCTCTCTCTCTCTCTCTCTCTCTCTCTCTCTCTCTCTCTCTCTCTCTCTCTCTCTCCGTTTCGAAAACAGCCTGCACAGGCTGGGGGCACAATAAGGTGGGACGCACAGGTTGGGACCCCGTGTTGTCTTTCCATTATTTCAAGCCAAAAAAGACGAAAAAAAGTACAAAAAAATTGGGTACTTGCTATTTTTGACAAAGGGACTCCTGAGTAGACAAATAAATGCCTAATTTCGGCGCAAGCGCCAAAGTAAACACAATCGTCTTCGCACCTGATTTCGCTGATCGTCAAATTTTCCAAAAATGTGCGAACCACATGATACAGCGGAAGTCTTGACGCAAACTGTACCGCACCTCGGCGTGTCGAGTACCCGCTTCTCCCGTTTCTGTCTAGCCGCAGCGCAGGTCTCAAATTCGAGCTGTTTATGCCAACCTGCTTGTCATTCTGACGCGGACTCTAATAACCTGCGCGCGGCTTTTGGCAGAAGTAACTTTGGTTGTTGTTTGAAGCCCCGCCAATGGGAGCGGCGGTATCGCTGGTGTTGTTGTTGTTGCTGGAAGCCCCTCCAGTACGCGTCACTCAAACACGGTTGGCCACGCGGTGCCGCGCCGCCGCGCCGCGCTACGCCCCTCAAGGCCTATTGGTGGTCACCGGGCGTGACGGCGCCGCGCTGCGATTGGCTGGCCGCCTCAGGCCGGCGTCGCCTGGCGTCGCTTGGCGCGGTCAGCGTCTTTTAGAGTCATTGTTTCATTATCTTGTTTATTGCCCTGGACTCTATGGTGCCTTTTTCCGGGGCACCGCCACCAATTTGGGAAGCAAAGATTCGCAAATAAGGTCGGGCACTCCAGGCCCTGCTACCTACTGGTACCGTCTTCAGACACAATAGGGTATTTTCCCTGGCCCGGAAGTCAAAGAACAAAAGTAAGAACCAAAACGGCTTCTGCGCATGCGCAGACGCTGCCTCAGAGTGGAGGGGGGCATGCGCAGACGCGGTTTTGGTTCTTACTTTTGTTCTTTGACTTCCGGGCCAGGGATTCGTTAAAATACCCTATAGTACACCGAAATTCATTCATCTCTGCCAGAATTCGAATTTAAAAGGAATTTACCTTGAGTATGAGTTTTTGAGACGCGAGAGGGTTACACTTCGTCACAAGTATGGCTATAGACGCAGACGGTGAGAACCGTGACTTGCCGATGCAGCACTCGGTTGCGAAATGTGCATCCAGAACCGAATTCTAATCTTTTTCCCGGTTTCACGTGAGATCCGTCTGCCGCCCGTCTGTCGCAATGTGTGCAGTGCAGTTTGTTGACTCGCGATTGCGAGACATTCGTTTGCTGAAATATCCCAAACACGAAAGGCCCACAGTGACATCAACATGACGTCACTTTGATTGTAGTTTCGTCACCGTGGGACTCGAATGACAGCCTGTGAACTCACAGTGACTTCAAGAATCATCCATGACTACTAAGCGACATAATTTTGGCATCCGTGTGTTTTTAAGTTTTGAAATAAAATTTTCTTTACGTACTATTAGTTTTGTTGGTGGGACTAAGTTTGAGAAAAGTATTTAAAATTAAAGTATGAATGCGCTTTTTGAAAAAAAAAATTATGTCACATGTCAACGTCAGGTCGAAAATACGATGTATTCCTGCTTCCTCTGTCTGCCGAAAGGTTGCGCTCGAGGCAATGAGATCACTGCTCGTTGGTGAGTGGTTTTCGCCAGCATTAATTTATTTGAAAAATATGTAAACACACCCGTGACGTGACCGCCGCCTTTTCGCGCTCTTTGGGATTCAGCGAGCATCTCGGCGAATGATAATGTACGCTACCGAGACGAACTGATAAGGGCGCCGGTGTTCCTCTCGTAGATTATCACCTGCACAGTGCTGCTGGCTTTGCCATAAATGTGAAGCGGAGGGCGGCGAGAGCAGCATTAGACTGAAGCTCTCGTACATGTGCCCAACTACCGGCGTATGTCCGTAAAAATTCTATTTGCGCAGGCCTGTGATTAAATAATTTTATTTCAATATTTAAAAAAAAAGGTTAAAAGTTTCTGAAAGTGAGTGCTATTTAACCAATTTAAAAACAAACCAAATATTTTAAAAATAAAAGATAAAAAACGGGATAGGCGAGCTTGATTTAAAAATTGTGCCCCTCTGACGGGATCTGTTGGCCATCATGATTATAAATCCCAAGATTCTCACGCTGGAGGAGTACAGCCGGGTGGTGGAGGCCAAACTGTCCCGCAAGGACTTCAAGATAGTGAGCTTGAAGGAGGCGCGACTGGAGCAGCGCGTCGGCTTCCTGGCGGACCACTCGCGCGTCCTGGTGGAGGTGGAGCTCCCCGACGGCCAGCACCAGACGCACTCCTTCTTCGCCAAGGCCATGCCGTCCAACGAGATCTGCCGGGACATGATCCTGGAGAACCGCTGCTTCCAGAAAGAAATTTTCTTCTACGAGCAGCTGTCGAAGCTCTTCGACGGGGTGCCGCTCACGGCCAAGACGTTCCCGACCTGCTACCTGGCAAAGCCGGAGGTCCTCATCCTGGACGACTTGGGGCCGATGGGGTTCGCGCCCGTCAAGTCCATGGTGGCGGCCGTGGACTTGGAGCACAGCTATCAGGTGAGTGTGACAACTGGTACCAGCGCGGGCAGCCGAACCTCTACACGCGTTTTGAGCTCCAGAGTCGCTGAATAGGACTCGAAACGAACGTGTGACCGCACCAATGGATTCCTCGTTCGGAGAGCAATCCGATGGTGGGTCACCGTTCGGTCCGAGTTCCGTTCAGCGACTGTGGAGGTCAAAACCCGTGATTTTGACCGCCTTCCGGTCTTCCGGCCCACTGTGCGCTTGTGCCGAGTCCTCACTGTTTCCCTGTCCAGGCCATCGCGGCGTTGGCGCGCTTCCACTGTGCCAGCATGGCAGTGGAGGAGCGGCTTCAGAAGCGCCTGCCGGACATGTTCCCCGAGTACATGTACGAGGTGCTCTTCCCGGCCTCGGGCCGCACCGAGACCTGGTGGCGCATGGGGCTCCGCGCCGCGCGCGCCCTGCTGCCGCTCCTGCCGCAGTACAAGGAGGACCCCGGCGTGCTGCGGAGACTGCAGGACAAGTTCGACGGCCTCGGCGACGCGCTGCTCAAGTGCTTCCAGGCGGACCCCCGTCGGCGCAACGTCATGTGCCACGGCGACGCCTGGATCAGCAACTTCCTCTTCAAGCAGAACCAGGGCACGCCCGACCATGTAAGCTCGTTTTCCGATGATGGCAGCGACAGGAATCAAAACTGAACACAAAAGTGCCCTTTGACTTCATCTTGAACGTTATAGTAACTCGTTGACAAGATCACGAGATATTTCTTTTTCGAATTATTGCTGTTGTTTAATGCTGTGGTCCTATTTTTTTCAACACCTGCGAATCATTTTCCGCGCCAGGCCGTGCTGCTGGACTTCCAACTGATGCGCTACGCCCCGCCCGTCTACGACGTGCAGCTCTTCCTGCACAAGTCCCTGCCGCACTCGGCGGACCGCGCCGCCCAGATGGAGCACCTGCTGCAGTACTACTACGCGCGCCTGCAGGGCGAGCTGCGCGCCGCGGGGCTGGACGCGGAGGCCCTGCTCTCGGAGGACGAGTTCCGGGAGACGAGCCGCGACGGCGCGCGCATGGCCAGCATCGTGGTGGCGCTGTACAGCCAGACCTGCGACATGCCGGCCGAGTTCATCGACAAGCTCTTCGCCGACAAGGACCTCTACCAGAAGTACATGTTCGAGGAGCGGCCCGAGTACGTCACCAAGGTCTTCAACACGAACAAGCACTTCCGGTGCGCCATGGGCAACGCTTTGGGGCACCTGGCCAAGATGGTCTTGGCGGACGAATAAAAACAACAAACCACTCTCTCCATTTTTTTAATCCGAGGCCGGCGTGTTGCCCGCGCAAAGCACCAGGCGAGAAGTCTTTAATGCAAATTGGGGGCTGTCAGGTTAGTGGGGTCTAATGTAACGACGTGCAGACAGGTGCGCTGATTGGTCGGGGCCGCGCGGCGCCGCGCTGTGATTGGCTGTCAGCCTCGGGGCCGGCCTGCCCGTCGGCCTGCCCGTCGGGCCGTCCAGGCCCCGTCACGCCGCGCGCGTCCGAACAGGTGCTCTTTTCGCCACAGCCGAGATGCTACCGGATAACTGGTTTTTCTCACGAGGGGCCCAGGCAGCCCAGCCCAGACACAGACCGCAGCGCCATCGCGTGAGCGGCCAGAGCCGAAACTAAAACCAGTGGCTGAATCGCCTAAATCATCGGGACAAATCACTGGCCGCAGGAAAAAAGGAGCGTTCACGTCCGAGGGCAAGTTTTGCAAAGCGAATTTACAACTGGGACGACAGTGTATCACACCTCTTTTAAAAAGTAACAACAAAAATACTTAGGCAGGTCGCATTGGCTAAAACATTGGTACTTTTGACTAGAGAAGGGAACTGGTAAGGCACATCCTTTAGTCAAAATGATCTGTCAGACTCAATTTAATTCGACAATGGTCGCTAGCGTTGAATCCTGTTCCGGGCCTAAGTTGTCGACGAAAGAGGCAGGTTCTTGTTTTCGGGAAGCTCGTTCGTGGATTCTCACGCGGCAACCTGTCTCTCCCCGGGGACTCCCTGTCATATGTGGAGCAGAGGAAGAGGCACCTGCACCCTAATCCCCGGTGGCGGTAGTGTTTCGCACGGCCTTTTTTCTGCATCCGCCTGGAACACAGTCCTGGAACACAGTCCTGGAACCGCCCCCCGGATTCGGTTCCCACACGGCACCTTGCGGCATCTCCTTGTCTTGTCTAGCCGAGCCTGGCTGGGCCTGGCTGGGCCTGGGACGGAGGCTGCAGCGCGTCCCCAGGCCGTCCCAGGACGTCCCAGGTTTGCACACACATGTGTCCTTCTGTCTTTGCCCTTCGCCGCGCCCGTGGCTGTGTGTGTCTGTGAGCAGGTACGTCCGTGTGCATGTGTGTGTTAATGCCATCCCAGGCTCTCTTCATGAGAATCGACCTAGCGTCTCAAATACGACACACGCACACAGTCGCACTCAGACACGCCGGCCACTCAATACAACAACAACACAAAGACAAACAAGGAAAGGCACATGTCGTGCCGCGTGAGAGCCTCCAACTTGTTACACTCCGTTTCCCTCTCTTCCGATTCGGACCGACCGACTCAGGTGCAGATTCAGTTTGTGCAGTGTGACCTGTGCAGCTAGAGCGTCGTCTAGTCATCGCCCGCCACTGTGTGCCCGTGTGTGTGTGTGTGTGTGTGTGTGTGTGTGTGCGTGCGTGTGTGTGTGCTGTTGATCTCTAGTGTCCAATAAACCCGTCAGAGCGTTGCATGGGTCCGCGCGGTCTGCGTGGTGAGCACACTGTGAGCACCGCGGCGCATCCCGGCCGGGCACGGCAAGGCACAATGGGTCGAGCAGGATATCGGTCGTGATGGTCCCTTCCCTTCCCTTGCCTCGCGTGCCTCGCACAGTGTGCCTCGCCGCGTCCGTCCGCCCGCGCGAAGGCGGCGCGAAGACGTTGGCGGCGCGCTTTGAGGGACTGGCAGGGACTGGCAGACTGATCGCTCTGTCCCTCTCGCACTCGCGGGGCGTCCCGTCTCCGCCTGCAGCGCACCCATGGCACGCCACGACGCGGCTCGTCAATGACAGCGACAAAAATCGGCACAGAAATCGATTCGGAAAGCGAAAAAATATTAAAGGCGCATTCTGAAAAAGAAAAACTTCGAAAAAATAAAATTTTGAATTGAAATGTAGAGTGGCTCTTTGAATGCAGGGCCATGTCCACTTGCCGGTGAGTGGCGGACCGGCGGGGCGGCGCGCTGTGCGCTGTGGTCCCATAGATCCCTAATCCATCGGGGGCTTCGGGAGCTTCTCCCACGGCCCCCTGTTTACGTAGGTGCCACACACGCTCTTTTTGCCCTCCTCATTCACAGCGTCGCACTGCGTCGCAGGGTGGAGAACCTCTTCCTGTCCCACTCCCCCGCTCCCCTTTTTTTCCACCTCCTGGACCTGCTCGTCCTCTTCCGCTCCCTGTGACCTCTCCCTCGCTCCCGTCTGCGACGCTACGCCGACGCCCACCGAACCGCCATTCACGTGTATCACTTGCAGCTGCAATTCGTCGCTCTGTCTCTCTCGCACCCGTACGGTACGCCCCATGAGTGCGAGAGAGACAGAGAGACGAAAGCGTCTCTCGGGATCAGCCTGCTCGCGGACTTCCTGCGAGGGAGAGAGAGAGGGAGAACGACAGCGGAGGATGGCGACACGAGGGAAGCAAGTGCATCGGAAGCAGGTGGGGCAAAGGATGACATCATGGTGAACAGGGCGATGGTGAACAGGGAGATGGTGAACAGCGAGATGGTGAACAGGGAGATGGTGAACAGCGAGATGGTGAACAGCGAGATGGTGAACAGCGAGATGGTGAACAGCGAGATGGTGAACAGCGAAATGGCGAACAGCGAGATGGTGAACAGCGAGATGGTGAACAGCGAGATGGTGAACAGCGAGATGGTTGGAGGTGGTGGTGAGGAGAAAGAAGGTCGACGCACCCACACTGGCCTGTGGGAATAAGGAGAACACCGAGGGCGTGGCGGCGCAATAAGGAAGGAGAGAGGAATATGGGAGATTGGAGGGGGTGGGAGGGGAGGGAGGGAGAGGGAGGGACAACTGAGTGATTCATTGTCACCCTGGCAGGTGCATCAGGCGGTACGGCCCAGTATGCATTCACGCGGAGCCGTATGGAATTTTCTCGGAACAAAGAGAGCACGACTCGCACGCTCACACTCTCTCTCTCTCGCTCTCTCACACTCACACACGGTCCGGTGAAAAATGAAAACACAAAGTCCGCGGAGGCCGAAGTGAAACAACAAGACCAGAAAACCTTGGCTGGCTCGCGCGCACTGTCCCACAGGACACTCGGCGTGGCGCGGCGTGGCGGGGCGGGGCGGGGCACATGCGGGTCGAGAAATTGTCCAGGGTGCATTAGCATATATGAGATAGAATGGGGCCCCGTCACATCACAATGGGATAGCTCCTCTTGTACCTGCTCAGACGCTCAGACAAAGACACACACACACGCTCGCACACCGACACACGCTTGCACGAGTCTGTCCTGCACGCCGGGCCGCGCCGGGCCAAACATCTCCCTCAACAGGTGTACCTGTGCGTTCTATGGACCGCCGCTTTGGACAGGGGCTGGCGCCGCCCCGCGCAGCCGCCCCGCCGTCCGTCGGCACACTGGGTACACGGGACACGCCAAGCTAAGCCAAGCTACTCATCCGTGCTCAACAAATGACTGCGGCACTGGGGCGGCTTTGTCTTGTCAGGATGCACTGTTTGTTGTCATCGAACGGAAAGACATTTGTAAGTATTACCAACATTTCTTCCCCGCTCGACTCGTCCACTCCCACAGACTTGTACCCAAAGAAATCCAAGAGCGATAGCGGTGAATTGAATGATGCACGAAACAAATGCGCCCCGGGCGTGTAATTTATTTTTCCAGGTCACCACGCCGTTCCGAGAAAGAAGCTAAATTATGCAAAAGCGAACTATTAGTGAGTCGTGTGACAGGCGAGACGACAAGTGGAATCCGTTTCCGAGACATTCATCCGGAACAGGCCTGCCGGCATTCACGGAGAAGATGCGTGCCTTCCTGCCCGGCCACATGTGCTGCCGAAGTACGCGCGAAAAAAAAATCGCGTCAACTTTTGCAGTTACTTATTCCGCATCTTTCTGCATTAATCTGCCGAAATCTTGATGGAGTGCAAGGACGGGTTGTTGTTGGATCCACCTCGCGGTAACGGTCCGAACGTTCCATTCCGGCCGCGAGGCGCACGGCATGACATCGGAGCGAGACAGAATCACTCACCATCGGCCCGACCGACCGGGACCGACCGGGCCCGACCGAGCAGCGTGACCGAAAATGCCGAAACGAACAAAACGAAGCCGTCCGCGGATTCAGATTAATCCCTCGTGACGAAGACGCACGCACGCACGCGCCTCGAAGCGAAAACCCGAAAACCAGCTTCCAAAGCCGCCTTCGTTATCCGGGCAGCTAGCAGTGTTTTCATAGTGTTTTCATGGTGCTTTCATGAGCGCTTCGATCGCGCCCTCGCGTCGAGTCCCGGTAGTCCGGCCAGCAGCCCGTAAAGTCCAGGAGGCGCGGGCAGCGATATATCGATGTCGCCCCGGTGGCCCGGCGCGGCCAGGCACGCCGAGGCACGCCTCGCCCGGTGTTTGGACCATTGCCGGGCCCCACAGTGGGCCCCACGGACGCCGCTATGGAGGCCGCCGAGGCCGCCGGGGCCGCCGTGATAGACGAAGCGTTATGCCTTTGATAGGCTCACGCGCCCACGGTCACACACTGGCTTGTGGGCGGCGGGCCTCAACCTGAGCGTGTATTTCTCCCGGACAAGTGTAACGACGGCGGTCGTCGCGGTGGTCGTCGCCGTGGTGCACAGTGGGCTGGAGGACCGGCGGAGGCGGCCAAAATTCCAGACGCGTTTTGAGCTCCAGAGTCGCTAAACAGGACTCGTACAGAACGAGTGACCCCACCCACTGTGTGGCTTTTGGGTGGTGCTCTCATCCGCGCGTCAACGGCGTCGATTACTGGCCGGCTCGGGTCGGCCTCTGCATCGACTACACCATCGGCCACCGAGGACCAGCGCCGGAAATAGCAATTGACCGGGCCAGCGAGTGACCTCCTTACATTGGGAAATAAATCCAAGACTAAGCAAGGAGAAAGGGGTGACAAGCTCTGCAAGCTTCGCAAGCTTTGCATGCCGGGGCTCATACCTGATACGGGGCCGATACATGTCTGATATATGGACCACACGGACGCCGTGCATATCAGATTCTTTCGGGAAACGGCCCCGCC